AACAATTTTTGGCCATTTTTATTTATTAATCAATAAATTTGAGGCTTTGTTGAATTTGTTGATCGTTGTTAGACTTAAAATTTTGATGTTAAATCTCAGTATTATTTTTAAAACCGTGTCATTTATCTATTTCCATTGGGGCTGCATGATATGGTAATAACATAATGCAACTACTGAAAAAAAATCATTTAGCATCACGTTTTATTTTCAGTAAATCAAAAAAAACTACACAAAAATTCTTATTTTAACTTTTCTTTGTTGCCTCTCTGCAGAACTACAGCACTTTATTACATTTTACTTCGATCAACTGTTGCAGTTCAGGCGGGGTGATTAATCTATAACCCCGGGGCAGGACTTTCTGTAGGCTTAATGAATCACGTCTGCTGAGTCACATTGCGGCTTACTGCAGACCTGTGGTGGGTTAACTGCCTTCCTGCCCCTCCCAGGCCAGCAGCAGATCAGTAGAAACAGGGAGGAGTGGAAAGAGAAAGAAAGGAAGAGCCTCCCTGCCCCCACTGCAACGCGCTACCTTTGTGTTGCATTCAGGGCCTTTCTGCTGCATTCAGGGACAGGGCGTTATCTGATGGCGGCTTCTCGCTCAGAGAAGTTCCAGCCTCATTGCAGCCTTTATATGTAGGCCAGTCGGTCACACGGTCTTTTACTATCCGTTTGCATTATTTATGTTAAATAAAATGTAAGATAAAGATTCAAATGGACGGATTTAACGGTGTAACGGTGCTTTTCGCTCCCCGGTTATAATCGAAACTGCGCCACAAGACGTAACGCACACACATGCGGGATTATAACCTACATTTAGATTTGAGTTGACAGAATTACAATGATTATATTTATTCCTATTCAAATTCACTATTTAAAAACATCAACGCTACATTTAGCTGCACAAAAGATGCATTTAAATAAATAAATAAAAACTGCAGCCTCCTTTTAACAAAACACACATTCTGACTTTTACCGTTATATTTAAAGCCGCAGTGCGTTTAAAAAAAATTTTTTTTTTTTAATTTTTTTCTGCTTTCATACTCACCATTTTGTGTCACGGTCTTTCTCCTTCACGCCGACGTTGAAGAATCGGTTGCTGAAGGCAGTACTGAGGAGGGGACGGGGAGCCGCTGCTATTTATGCTTTCTCACAAAGGCGGAGCCAAAATGGCGGTTTGAATCCCTTCTCGGCGGGAGCGGCCGTTAGGCGCCGCTGCATTCACGGCCGGCCCGGAATATTCAGTTAGTGACAATTTAGCTGCGTCATTTGAAGGACATGAAATCTTTTGTTTGGCTTTTCCACCTCCAGTTTGTGCATCTTATCGTTATTTTGTGACGGATACAGAAAGCAAAGTGCAGTCATATTTGTATGACTTATTTTGAAAATGTCTGGAAAATGCAATATTGCCACTGTATGGCAACAGAAAATAAACTATGTTGTATAAACTGTGTGTTTATTTTGATCTGTTTATCAGTATTTTTATTTATCCAAATCAATAATAAGCGTGCTACTTTATATCTAGAATTCATAATACGCATCAAAATCTATCACTACAGGCTCTGTTTTATGGTAATTTTACTGTGAAAGGTTTCATTCACAGTCTTATCGTACAGTGGGAGCGGCACTTGAAGGCAGCATGACTCAAATAAGGAAATACAGTGGCTCCGTTATACACCAGCACTCATACAGCAACAACACATTTATTCATTCATTTAATTCATCTATACTTTAATAAACCCCATTAAAGCTATATAACCAAACTACAGAAGATAATTTGATCATTTATCATGAAGAACATATGACTATAAATATAGTAGTAACAGATTATCACCTCTCATTTCATTTATTGTGGATTTAACTCTATTCCTAACACCATGAAAGAACCCAGGCCTAATCCTGAGGTATTTCTGTTATGTAAGGCATTGCACACGCTGTGAGGTGGAATTAGACTTAATGCTTAACAAGGAGGCAACGTGAGTAAATGAAGTGTGAGTGAGGGTTGTAATGTGTTATCAATGACAACAAAGCACACCAACGGAAACATGTCTCTGAGTTTATTGTTACAAGAGAAAGTCACGTAAGAAAGATGAGATCTTGACATTGAATTCCTCTTAATCTCTGTGGATAATGACATGAATTTTGCAGATCATTCAGGGCTTGACTCGTAAATATCTGTCAAAGAAACCTGTTTATCTTAGAGTAGATATCTTGAAAATTCCTCATCAACTTCCACCTTGATGGCAAGAAATTATGTAAACATGGTTTTACATACAATTAATTTCATCAGCTTCTCTTACTATACAGTGCACCCTTACAGTGGTTATAGGCAGAGTTATGTTGTTCCAGTATAGCACTGAAAAGAGGCAAAGATTAGGAGGAATTTTAGCACCTGTAGACACAAAGCAGTGAGTATGCATTTTTTAACAGTAGCTAAATGTCACAGTTACTGCCAACCAGACCAATTGATTTTCACACAAGGAAAAATAACCTTTAAGTTAAAAGTTTGATGTACTTTTTCACTGGATGCCATTATATAATAAAAATGAATGGCAACAAAAGGTCTCAGTATGCTTCAAACAAAGTGCTTGTGGAGAGTCTAAAACATGGTGTCCGACAATTTTTGGAACTCCAAAGAGAGTCACGCCGACTTTACACAGTGATTGAAGTCACATTTCATGTATGTAACGAAGAGAAACAACATGGACGCCTTGTAGGAAAGACCCAAAGCATGTGACATCACCCAAGTTGTACAATTTATTGTTTGTCATCCTTCTCTAGGATTACACTTTGACCTATAGTGGAACCTACTAGTAGTTTGCTTAAAGCATACTGACACAAACCCAATCAGTTTTGTTTTGTTTGTTATTTGAAACTTAATATTCTTCCCCCTCTTCCTCTCCTTCGTCCCCGACGCTGTCGGTGCCCACCTCTTCATAATCCTTCTCCAGGGCAGCCATGTCCTCTCTGGCCTCTGAGAACTCTCCCTCCTCCATCCCCTCTCCGACGTACCAGTGGACGAA